TATGTCCTGAATCCTAATTGACCTTGGAAGGCCAGGGCCAAAATGTTGGCTTTCCTTGTAGCCCTCCTTTTTCTCTAATTTTGGTTTGCAAACTTAGGTTATTAACCCTCCGTTAGAGAAGCTTATTGTTATTACCTTACTAAATTTAAAAAAGGAAAAAAGAAAAAGAAAAGAAAACCTGACAAATAATTAGGGCTGGAGTAGTAAAAAACCCTCAAAGACTATATAATACACTGGCTGTGGCTCAGTGGATTATGGTACATTGTGGGGTAATATAACAACAGTAGCATATGGCAGACACAATTCCAAGTGTCCTCATGTTAAGTGCTCATTACAACTCCACTAGTTTCACTTTACTTATGAGGGAATAAAAGATAAGGAAAGTTTTAAGACTCTAGCAAAGCTACAACCTAGTAAGCAGTGGAGCCAAGAATCAAAGAAAAGCTGTCTCTCATAACTTGTGTGTTTCAGGTGTCACAGGCAAGAGTTACCCCCAATATTAGGCCTTCCTTGCTCATCAGTAATGAAATCCCCACATTTGAGCTAAACACAGGTAGCTGCAGACCACAGTTGCTAGCCTCCCAGATGACTAGATACTGTAAGTGACCAGGCTAGACAAAGGAGCGTGAGTAGCCATATTTCTTTTCCTCTTTCTGCTGCATAAATGTGAACATAATGAGTGGAATCCTGGAGCCAGCTTGAGTGCTACCCAAGGAGTGGCAGAGAAGAAAGGTGGAAGAAGTAGGCCTCTTGTGACAATCTGTGTAATTTCTATGCCAGCCCTGGCCTGCTATCCTCCAGACTTTTTACATGGAAGAATAAAACCTTATGTGAACAGCCTCTGTTGATTTCTGATTTCTAGTGCATGTAGACAAACTCAGCCCACATCTTACTGTGAAAAAATCATTTTGGTTTTAAAATGTTCATAACCTGACATAAACATGGGTAAGTCATAAAAGGGTTTCCATACATTTAAAAGTCTTTTGGGTTTTATTTATGTTATAAACTGAAGATGGGCAATTTGGTGATGCAAAAGCCAAATTAACAGTACAAACTTGAAGAATAATCCTTAAAATTCCCATTTAATTTGCATAACAAAATCTAGCCTGAGTCAAAGAATAATAAAACGTATCAAATGTATTCAAGGAGCTCATTTCATAATATCAGTCTTTATTTCTGTTTTCTTGAGTACCAATCTTTTTTAAGTTCCAATGTCTAAACTTTCCTAATA